TTTTCTATGAAGAGAATATAGTATTTAAAACCTGATGTTGATTGCAAAGGGGCTGGACCCCAAACATCTATGTGAACCAAGTCAAGAGGTGCAGTAGAGAACGAGGTTGAGAGTTTAAAGGGCAGTGAATGAGCTTTACCAAACTGACAAGCATCACAGAAGGGATGAACTTCATTTATATCAAGCTTTTCATTACATAGTTTGAACACTTGAGACATTACAGAGATAGAGGGATGTCCTAATCTCATGTGCCTTAACTTTAGGTTAGATAAAGACTCTGTGAGATCTTTTGACTGAGCAACAAATATGGAAGATTTAAAACTATTTGAGTGATCTGATTGTAATGCAGGAAACCAAGTGACTTCATTTGAGGTAGGAGACTGAGTAACTTCATCTGGCAAGTTAATCTGATATAATCCATCCTTAATTATCCCTTCCAGCAGCAGCTCCTTCGTTCCTTTGTCCTTGATAGCACAATAGTCAGAGTGAAATTCCATGAATACTCTATTATCAAAGGTTAATTGAGAAACACTAATAAGTTTTTCTGGATTGAAGGAAATAGAAGCACATTATTAAGAACAAGTGACTTATTGTTCCGTGCATTAAGGTGATTTGTGCCAATATGAGAGATGGAAAGTTTGTTACCATTTCCAACAGCAAGTTTTTGCTTACCAGCATATTCCAAAGCTTCAATCAAGTTTCCCTTTTCAGCTGTGACATGATTTGTGGCTCCTGAGTCTGCATACCAAGCCACTATCCTAGAGGAAGCCAGCAAGCCAGTTGGTTCAGGAGAGCTATTCTGATAGTGATAATCTGGTTTGGCACCCATGTACCTTTCATCATAACGGTTGAAACACCTAGCAGCTACCACAGATTTGGCAAGTGTTTCTATTAGTGAAGAATCTGCCTCCACTGCCACTGCCTCTGCTTCTGTTTCCTCTATAGCTGTTGTTATTCCTGCCACCATAATTAAATCTTCTTTCCTTGGAGGTGTTAGGACTGTAGATAAAATTTGTTGATGCTTCACTTAAATTGACTTATGCTAGACTATTTTTTAGGGTGCTGAGATGTTCAATTCTGCTCTCATAAGTCATAAGTATCGATTGTAACTCATGCCAAGTGATTGATTCCTTGCTGTTGATTTGGACTACAATAGGGGTATGTTCATCAACTAATCCAGCCAACACTTGAGTCATAAGGTCATTGTGTGGAATGATTTTTCCAGCTATTTCGAGGTTACCCACTAGTTGTTTGATGGTGTTGAGATATCTGTCAATGCTCATTGCTCATTTTCTAGCCCTCTAGAGCTTACTAACAAGAAAAATAACCCTTGATCTATTCATAGCTCCAAAACTTTAAAGTACATCGTTCCATAAATCTGAGGACCTTGAGGATCCCATGACTCTCATTGTGATTTCCGGTGTCATTGAAGAATACAACCAACCTATCAGTAGTTGGTATGTTGACACCCATTTTCCGAACTCAGGATTAGGCGCCATCTCCACTGTAACTCCAGTTGAACCAGTGGTCTGAGTTGCCACAAACTCAGCAGGGCAGCTTCTTGTTCCTGTGATGAATCCTTCAAGATTGTGGCCTTTGATGATTGGCATTACAATGTTTTTCCAGAGTAAGAAGTTGTTTCGATCAAGCTTGACTGATGGAACTTGGGTTAGAGTTATCCCAGGTGTTTGCAACTGATTTCCTCCCAACATTGGAGGCATCAAGGTGCTGGAAGTGGGCTGTGCAGACTGAATGTTATCGTTTGATCCTGTGTTGGCCATTTGGCTCTGATACCAAGTTGAAAATCAGAATTGAAAGATGTAATTTAACATCAAGATGATGAAGATAAAATTGTATTTCTTATCTCATATTAAAGGTTACAATGCCAGCCATATTTATAAGCTAAACTGGAGTAATGAGCAAGCTAGAATCTACAAAATAAATGTGTGAATCAATATTGTTACAACAGATTAATGTGGTCCCAAAGATGAGTCACCAGACAGCTGAATATGCACTACTAACGGTATAGAGTGAGTGCTGATGAAAGGAATCTTGATTAGATAAATAAGTATCGCCTAATGATGGTTTTAACACATCCGATACACGTTTATTGATTGTAGAAGAATTCACCACTAGAACTTCATCATCATGTGCTACTGAGAATTTGAGCCTCAAGGTGTCAATGTGTCCACTTTATCTTGGATTCGAAGCTCCGTCTTATCAACATTTCAATACATTAGACTCTTTGTGCAAGATGCAGTGCGTGAAATATATTTTCACGAGATTTGAAGGGTCACATGGCATCTTTTAACCCATTCTACATTTACATATAAATTTAGATCGAACTTTTTAGAAATTAACTTTAACGAATTGGCTACATTAATGACCTCCCAAAAAATTTTGAAACCGTTCATTCCCTTCCTAGAGTTCCCTTTTTCAAAATATCTCTTTCAATGTCATGGTGGCATTGAAAGAGATCATTCGGAAGAGGGGACTCTATGAAGTGATAAAAAAACTGTTTCAAAAATTATGGAGAGGCCATGATTGTAGCCAATTTGCTTGAAGTCACATCTAAGTCTGATGAATGTGGAAATAGTTGTAGCGATGGTAGTGGAAGATGAGCAACTAAGGGTGTAACTTTTTTTCATTTTTAATTAGTAGTTTATGTTGAAGGCAGGGGGTGAGTTTATTATTAGTGATGGTGGGTGAATAAAAAAATCGTCATCTCGCCAAAGTAAATCGAAATTGCAGTTTTGAAACTATTTATTTGGTTCCACATAGTTTAGATTTTGACCAATTGAACCAAGCCATTTGGAAATGGATTGATTTATTTTTCATTAGCTAAAAATTGTTTAAAATAAAATCGAGTAGTTCACACAATTTCTAAAAAAAATTGTCTTTTTTATCCAAGATATATTATTTATTAGATCAATTTATACTTCAACAAAATTACTTGCTGATCGGCTCATATTGGCTTTTAGGAAAATAATATTTTTTTTAAAAAGAATTCCTTATCAGACTAATGAAATTTTAAGCTTGAATCGAACATTGTTTTAAGCTTTTATTAAGACAAATATATTAGTTTTGCAACATTTATATTTAGATGGTTTCAGTTTTAAGTGTTATAGTGAAATTTTAAACCAATATATTTACTTTTTCACTAGTTTAAAATATGTTATATTTATGTCACTTGAAACCAAATCAAGCTACAAAAAATGGTTTGATTTACAAAATTAAACGACTTGGTTTGGTTTAGAATTTTTTCAAACCTTTGAAAATGGTTTAATTTTAGTATAATTTAAAAATCGCTCAAGCAAAACTTTGTTCAACCTAAGTGATTGTTGTGTGATAATTCATATTGTTGTGGAGGTGGTCTTAGTGATGGCAAGTGTAATAGTGTATTACAAATAGTGATTGGAAAGTGATTACGATGTAACATGATATGTTACAAGTGGTGGCGACAACTCCGATAGTGAAATGTGCATAACATTGTATTGCAAAGTGTAGTATAAAAAATTAAGGAAAAAAGGGTATTTTTTTATATAAAAAAATGTGAAGCGAAGAAATAATTTTTTTTTTATCTTATTCGTGAAAATCTCTTTTCAAATTGAACAGTATAAAAAATAACGTTATTCAACATCATTGATACTTAACACTAATCTAAGTGTTCATTAAGTGCATTATAAATAAAAATATATGTGTCATATAAGCTACTTAGCACTAATCTAGGTGTTTAAGCATTAATTTGGAATAATTGTGTGAACTCATCCGATTCATCCACATACGACGTCCACACGTACTCTTTAGCTCGTGCTTCGTAGAAATTAATATTAAAATTTTAATTTAAGTTAAAGTCAACTATTAATTTTAATCATATATTTTTTGAGATCCACAACTTTTCGACCACATATCTCATCAATTTTTATCAAAAATTACTAAAATTTTAATTTTAATTCCCGTACACAACTTAATATTTAGGAATTGTTTGAGCCCCCATTTTTTTAAAGATTCATTTTTTCAAAACTCATTTTCAACCACACATTAGTTAATAAAATAATGTTACACGTAAATATTTTTTCTTAATTTTTAACCACACATTCTCCAAAAATCACTATTCAAAAATGTATTTTTTCCCTCGAAACAGGACTCAAACAAGGGCTTATTATTTAGGTCCTCCCAAACAGTGCTTCTTGTGTCCTCAATTAACCGCTTTCAGGCCCAATGAAGTACGAATAAGAAACCTGTAGGACTAACATTCATGTCGACAACGTCGGACTACGGATCTTTGGGCCCCACTCAGTCTGACCTCTGGTCACCTATGCTCACCCGGTCGTCGGAGTGTCCAACAACCAAGGGAAAATATACATAGATGATGCAGGAGGGTCCGAGTTAGATGCTGAGTTGTCAGATAACACGTTAATGGCTTTAAAGTATCACGAGTTAGCAGATCGGCGCAAGGATCGCAAGTGATCGCGTAACTTTGGTAATTAAGTCGTGTTTCGGTAATTTGGCCATAACTTTGGCTACGGCTATCAGAATCGCGATTATGACCACAATTCGGAAAGCTTGTTTCGGGACGCACGTTGTTGCCACCCAACTTTGCTCGCTATGTGCCGTTTTCAGCCTCAAATTCCGTTGTTTTCCCTTTCGAATTGTTATTTTTAGTTAAATTTTGCTATTTTTGGTAATATTTCGAATTGTATGTTAGGAGATGATTTTTAACCCAATTTGGGCTAGATTTTTCGCAGACTACTTATTTTATTCTTTATTTTCGTTTGGCGTGATTTTTTAGAATTTTTCCATTTTTGGTAAAATTCGAATTTTTGCTCTAAAATCCGGCTTGTGGACTTATTTTGATCATTACGTGATATAATAAAGTTCTTTAAACTTCAGAGACGATTTCTCTGTATTTTTTTTGGCGTTAATATCGTGTTCTTCCCTGTAAATTTGCTGGTAGAACTAGCCTGCAAAATAATCACTGTTCTACCCGGCGTCAATAGATGACATGCTGCAGAAACACTGGAGAGTTTGGTTACTGGCAGCTGAGGCACTTCGTATTAACAAGTTTGGCTTTGGCTCTAGAGGCCTTCCACACCATGGTCATGATCTTCACCGACTGTGAACCGCCGTGGCAGTGTTCTACCGCTGGATGCTCGTCTGAGTCGAAAAGCGTGTGCCAGCTTGAAACCTGTTCGTGGGAGTGGATTGGTGGTGCAAGAAGCTCCACGGTGGCTGAATTTGGATTGATTTGTGGGCAGAAATACAAGATTGGATTGGTTCAGTCCTTGTTTTTTGGTGGCTGCATGACAGGTCAGTTCTAACTCCCTTTCATTACTTTACCTCATAAATATTAAAATGAAAATGTGTCTAGTTCTATCTTGTTTGGGGGATTAATGTTATTCATTGTCACTAGTGTTAAGCACTAATCCAAGTAACAATTATATGACATTAAATAATACATTTAAATGCAAAATTACATTACTCATTTAATTAAACATACAAATTGTGGCCAGCTAAATTGGTATTCTAGAACCACTGATGCTAAGTGGCATTACTCAAATGTAAAATCACATAATTCATTTAATTGAACGTCATCTAAACTGATGCTCTAGTATTATTCTGTTTGAGGAGGTATGCACAGATTCTAAGCATGTAATAGCTAAGTAATTAAAAATAGTTTACTTCTTAGATTGAAATCAGAAGTTCAAATATTTTATTATTACTTGGTGATTATGTGGACATTTTGGCAGGCCTCACTATCTTATTGTTTACTGATCAATCACTTCACTATGTATATATTTTAAAGAGGAATGCTATGAAGAATCATCACCAACTTTCTAAATTTTTCCATTGCTGCCGACGCTAGAGAATAAATTAACTTTATCTCAACTCATTTCAGTACAACTTTCGCACTATCTTATTTAATAATCTCCAACTCATTACTCCAATTGTTATCCAACTCATTGAGCAGGTCAGTAAATTTTTGGGCGATTTTCTAAAAGATGGATTTTTTTTACCTAACCGACCAGGCTTTGGGACGATTTTTTATTTCACCTTTAAAACCAATCGAGCCATTTTTTTATTACATTTAATTAGCTAAAGTATTACGTTTATAATAAATTAAGAAAAAAAAAAGCATTACACTTAATACATTAAAAAGAATATTACATTCAACATCACAATATTAAAAAAAAAATTATTACATAGAAAACATAAAAACTTTCAAAAATTATAAATTTTAATAAAAATAATAATCAAATTAAAATTGTAAATATATTTAAATCATTTAGTAATAAAAGAATGTAAAAAATGACATAATAGAAATTAAAATATAGTAGTATAAAATGAAGGGCAAAATGGAAAATAATTAAAACTATATATATTAACAAAATGAAAAGTGACGCTGTTAATTAATTTAATTTGGTGTTAAGATTTGAAGTCCGATTGGAGCATCATTTTCACACCAAATTGACATTTTACACCATTTTGAACTTGAGTTGGAGATGCCCTAATGGAATGTTGTTTTATCTCAAACATATGCACTCATCACTTAATTAATAAAGAAGAGCATAAGGATGTACTTAAACTCGAGTGATAAAATAGAAATTCTCTCCACTCAAATCTGCTGTCACGTTTGAAGCCTAATTATTTTTCATCAGACTTCTTAAAGTGCTTTAGGAGCTTAAGATTAGTATAATCTGCTATAGGTTTTAAACAAATAAGACCTAACTTCTTGAGTAATCATTTACTCTGACCAAGATGGATCTCTTAATTATTCTTTGTTAATTTTTTATACCATCCAAAAGCATCCGCTCTTACCACTAAACCTGTGGCTGCCTTTCTACATGTTTGCTTTCTGCTAGAACTTTTGTCCAGCCCTGCACTTGTTTTGTTGCTTTTTTTTGAGTGGGGCTGGTGAGGATGTTGTGAGTACTGCAATTCTACTATATCAAAGGCTATTACGTCTATATTGACCTAATCCACACGTTCCCCTCAGAAACCTAGTTCCATTCAAATAAGGAACTTTCAACTAGTCGAAGAGACACTGGGTTGAGTTTGATTACATATACATTTCAAGTACTTCCCCTCTTATTCCATTCTGTTGCATTTCTTTGCTTTTGGGAGGTCGAGTTTATGTTCCCATTCCTCTTGTTCTTGAGAGTTTGGTTTTATATATACAGTTGAGGAATCCAAATCCCCCATCAGCCTTCCCTAATGGAGCCTGAAAATGTTGTGTTGGTGTTTTCCTTTATAAAGGAAAAAAAGAAAGGAAGAAAAGTCTCCAAGCTTTGCATGTGCTATTAAGACTCCAGGATGTTAGAAGTTCATAACTAGAGATTAATGAATAGAAGAACTAATAGTAAAAAACAATAGGGCTAAGATACGTACAGGAAAAGGTTATTTCTTACAGTTGGAGGATTGGCATTATATAGCCATTGTACAAAATCTTTTCAGAAGGAAAAAATAAACCTATACTAGGAAACTAATATAAACGATCAGGAATGGAAGAACAATCACATCTAAGAATGGAAAAAGAATCAAGGCTTGGAGATAATTTTGTCAATATTCAACACCCCACTCAAATTGGTGCATGGATATCACACATGTTCAACTTGTCGAGAATACTATTAAATGCTTGGCTNAAGTTGGTTCATAGATATCACACATGCCCAACTTGTCGAGAATACTATTAAATGCTTGGCTTGGTAATGCTTTAGTGAGCACATCTGCAAGTTGATCTTGTGATCGAACATGGGGCAGTTCAATAATCTTTACATCTAGTTTTTCCTTGATAAAGTGCCGATCAACTTCAACTTGTTGGACTGGATTGTGAGCAATTAACTTCATAGGACGAATTTGCTCAATACATAAATCCTGCATCAAATTTCTTATCCACGATAACTCACATATTGCTTTTGTCATTCCTCTATATTCAGACTCAACACTAGATAAGGCCACTACATTTTGTTTCTTGCTACGCCAAGTAGCTAAGTTTCCGCCTACGAATGTGAAATACCCAGATGTAGAGCGTATTTTTTCAATTGACCCGGCCAGTCTGCATCGGTGTACCCTTCAATATCCAAGTTATCTCCTTTGGTAAATATGATACCCTTCCCAGGAGATGACTTCAAGTAGCGCAAGATACGAATGACTGCATTCATATGCTCTTCACTTGGAGAGTGCATAAACTGACTGACAACACTTAATGCGTAAGCCAAGTCAGGACGCGTATGTGTAAGGTACATTAACTTCCCAACTAATCTCTGATAGAGTTCCTTATTGGTAGGAATTTGATTTGTATGTATTCCTAGTTTCAAATTCTCTTCCATAGGCGTATAAAATGGACTACGTGATGTCATACTTATTTCCTTCAACAAATCCAAGGTATATTTTCGTTGGGATAGAAAAATACCTTTCTTTGATCTGGACACTTCAATCCCAAGAAAATATTTCAGCTGACCAAGATCTTTCATTTCGAACTCACGAGAGATGTATCTTTGCAATGCCTTCTTTTCCTCTGAGTCATTTCGTGTTACTATCATATCATCAACATACACGATCAGAGCAATGATCTTCCCTTTACTATGTTTCAAGAATAGAGTATGATCTGAAGTGCTTTGTTTGTATCCAAAAGCTTTTAACAATATTCTGCCAACTTTCCTGTGCTTGTAGAAGACAGAATGATCGACTCCACAACGCTGAAGACCAAATTCAGTGACCACTTCACTAAATCTTCCAAACCATGCTCTAGGAGACTACTTCAAGTCATATAGGGCCTTTTTTAGTTTACAGACTTGTCTGCAAGTTTTAGGCAGTATATTACATCCAGGGGGCAACTCCATATATACTCCTTCTTGTAGTTCTCCATGCAAAAAAGCATTTTTTTACATCAAATTGGTGTAGAGGCCAATCCAGATTTGCAGCAAGGGAAAGAAGGATGCGGACGGTGTTGATCTTGGCTACTGGTGCAAATGTCTCCATATAGTCAATCCCATAGGTTTGTGTGTATCCTTTGGCGACCAGTCTTGCCTGGAAGCGTTCAAATATGCCATCTGCTTTATGTTTAATGGTGAAGACCCATCGGCATCCAACTGGTTTCTTTCCGTCAGGTAAGTCAACAACTTCCCATGTTGAGTTCTTTTGGAGAGACCTCATTTCGTCATTCATTGCTTCCTTCCATTTGGGATCGTCTAATGCCTCCTACACACTATTAGGAATAGATACAGCAGATAATTGATTTACAAAGGATTCATTTTCCTTTGACAACCTATGGTAAGACACAGAGTTGTTGATGGGATATTTAGCTTTGGAATTAAGGATAGGTTCGTAGTTAACCTTCGGTTTACCTCTTGTAGTTCTATCGGGTAATAGATAAAATGCATGAGGGGGTTCAGAAATAACTTGAGTTTCAATGAGAGGATCAGCCTGAGAAGGCAATTGGTTAATAGGTACAGGAGATCTAGATCAAGGTGAAGGTGGCTCCAAATTTGCATGAGTATCACCACTACTGTTTATATCCAATGTGTCCAGAGAAGTGGCATCAGTTGGACTTTCACCACTTGGAATTGAGAGATCACCACTTACATCCAATGATCCCAAAGAGTCAACTAGAGGGTCAATTACAGGCTACAATTCATTATGATTCTCTCCCTGAAGTGGACCTGTAGGGACATAATAATACATATCATCTTCATAAATACGTCAAGTGTAACATAATTTTTGAGAAGGGAGGATGATAAAATCGATACCCTTTTTGGTGCAAGGTATAGTCAACAAAAACACAGTGAAGAGCGCAGGGTTCCAATTTATTTCTCAACGATTTGGGCACTTGCACATAAGCAACACAACCAAAGATTCGAGGTGGTAGATTTAGCACATGTGAAGCACGTATAGCTGTATGAAGAACATGAAATGGAGTTTGAAACTGAAGGGAGCTCGAGGGTAGCCGATTAATGAGATAAGTAGCAACAGTAACAGCCTCACCCCAATGCTGAACTAGCATGTGGGCTCCAAACAAGGAAACACGGACAACTTCTAGGAGATGACGGTTCTTGCGCTATGCGACTCCATTTTGCTGAGGAGTATATGGACATGTGGTCTAATGGACAATACCATTAGAATTCAACAACTGTTTCAAATCATTATTAACAAATTCGCCACCATTGTCGGTACGGAGGACCTGAATATGAGACTGATATTGTGTAATTATCATCTGGTAACATTATCGAAATAAGGAGCTAACTTCGTTCTTTGTTTTCATTAGGCAAATCCAAGTCATGCTAGTATGATCATCAATGAACGAATCAAACCAACGGGCACCACTTAGTGAAGTGGTATTAGCAGAACCCCATACATCAGAATGAATTACCATAAAAGGAGTTGGGCTTTTATTCATACTTCGTGGAAATGAAACACGATGGCTTTTAGCCAACTCACAAATATCACACTTAAAATTCGAAACATTCAAGTTTACAAATAGATGTGGAAATAACTTATGTAAATATCTAAAAGATGCATGACCTAACCGCCTATGCTAGAGCCAGATTTCAGAACTCTGGGTTGTGTCACATGCGTTAGGTGAGTGAGCTTGGGCCACCAGATTCGAGCTTTGTGGTATTAGATCCAAGTAGTAGAGCTTTCCCCTTCTAGTACCATAACCAATTGTCTTTTGAGTCTGGATATCCTTTAAAACACAAAGATTAGGGCCAAAAATCACAATACAATTTAAAGTAGTAGTTATTTGAGCAACAGACAACAAGTTATGATTAAAAGAGGGAACAACTAAAACAGAGTCTAAATTCAAATTGGGAGTTAGAGTGATAGAGCTTTCACCAATCACAGGAGCGGAGTCACCATTAGCGGTGGCCACGATAGGTTGGATGGAAGATTTAAGAGATTGGAGGCCACTATAGTCAAAGGTCATATGATCCGTTGCACCTGAATCAATTATCCATGTATTATTACGACTAGTAGTAGAGGCATTAAAGACCTTACCAATATTACCTATAGTGGCAGCCAAAGAAGTTGCTTTGGTAGGTTCAGGTGCAGCACCAAATAAATGGAAATTGGGCTCAACCATGGCTATAGATGCATGTGATTTATAATTCTCTCTACGAGGGGCTTTGGTGGAATCCCACCACTCTGGATAGCCGATCAATTCATAGCAGCGAGACTTGGTGTGCCCAGTTTCACCACAATGAGTGCAGAGGTGCTCATGGGATCCAGTATTACGAGTTTGAGATCCAGAGTTGGATGCTTGGTCTGATGCAGTTTAGGCCCACGAACTACCATGGGAAAGGGTTCCGAGGGGACAGTGTCACCAAGAATGGTCGGCCGACGAGCAGCCTCATGACGAACACAGGCATAAGTTTCTTCAAGATCAAGGGCAGGGTCCTTGCGGAGTATTTCGCCCTGAAGTGACTCAAACTCGGCATCCAACCCATTCAGGGAGATATGGACATGGAGCTGTTCAACAGATTCTTATACATTACCACATCATCTGGGTCTTTCATGACAATTTTATCAGGGTGGTCCAACTCTTGGAAGATTCCAATCAATTCACCATAATAAGTAGATATGGGATGACCAACCTGTTTCGTAGAGAAGGCCCGCTGGTTTAGGGAAAAAATTTGAGATTCATCCGAGCCATCATAAAAGGCTTTAGCGAGGGCAGTCCAAATTTCCCATGCCGTCCGCAAGCAGAGGTAACGTTTCATGATTTCAGGTGACATAGACGTAAGTAACCAGCCCTTTACCTTCTGATTTTCAGCATACTACTTGCTACAGTTAGCATCAGTAGGTTCTGGGATAGGTGCCCTTCCCATAATGTAGTCGAGTTTCTCCCGTCCAGTACTCTGTATCTCCAAAATCTGAGACCATACGTCGTAATTTGTTCCGGTAAGGATAACTCCAGCAGTAAAACTAGAATTTTCGGATTGGACATGGCTAATAGAGGTGGAGGGTGCAGGGATCCCTTTCTAGAGAGGATTTTCTGGAGTGGTAGCTTCAGGGATATATGTTTCCGCCATTGGTCAGAGATGGAGAGACAGATAATGCAATAGGCTGGCTCTGAAACCAAGTAAAAAATAATAGGGCTAAGATACGTACTGGAAAGGGTTATTTCTTACAGCTGAAGGATTGGCATTATATAGCCGTTGTACAAAATCTTTTCAGAAGGAAAAAATAACCTATACTAGGAAACTAATATATACAACTGGGAATGGAAAAACAATCACATCTAAGAATTGAAAAAGAATCAAGCCTTGGAGATAATTTTGTCAATATTAAACATTAATCAAGTATACGCTGAATAAAAGAACTAATCAAGTATACGCTAAGCGTTGAATTTGGATCATGAATGTAATACATGTGCCTATGTTTACAGGTGCTAGAGTATTTGGTCATCTCTGAGACTCTAAGTTGGGAAGAAAAGGCTCTATATTAATTGTTTGTATCATGAATGCAATCTTCGGTTGTCTTACAGCATTATCTCCAACTTACTGGACTTATGCCCTATTACGCCTTCTGACTGGCTTCAGCATCAAAGGATTGGCCTCTGTGCTTTTGTCTTAGCGACAGAGTGTGTCAGCCCTACAATGCGTGGCATTGTCGAAATGTCCACATTCAATTTTTTCTCTGGGGGAATAGCTATTCTATCTGGTATAGCTTATATTTTTCAATCATGGAGATCCCTCTATATTACATCTTCTATTCCTTCCATTCTATTCGTTGCTATCATACTTCATTTCTTGTCTGAGTCCCCTCGATGGTGTCTTATTAGAAGAAAGATGAACCAGGTTATGAAAACTATGCACAGAATCGCTATAACGAATGGAAACCACCTCTCTGACGGTACCCTTCTTGTCCTTGATGAAGAAGGAAACTGTGTTCCAGATAAAGTTCATGGTGAAAGTAAAACAGAATTTGAATCACAATCAGCCATAACTGGATCCCTCATAGATGTGCTTCACTTGCCACTAATACAAATTCGTTTACTTCTAGCGGTGGCCATCAACTTCGTGTGCTCTGTTGTCTACTACGGCCTAAGTTTGAATGTGGGCAACCTCGGAACCAACCTTTATCTTAACGTTCTCCTTAATTCTATAGTAGAAGTGCCTGCAATTTTGTTAACAGCTATTCTGTTAAACAAGTTTGGCAGAAAGCCCCTAGCTATTGGGATACAATGGTTCAATGGGGTATTTTGCATTGTAGGGAGCTTGTTAAAAGGCTATGGAACATGGAAGGTTGTCCGAATTGTCTGTGGTATTCAGGGAATTTTTGGTATGGCTGGAACTTATAATCTGTTGTTTGTTTATATGGTGGAGCTTTTTCCTACCGTCGTAAGAAATGCAGCGCTAGGGTGCGCTACTCAGGCTGCCCAAATGGGAGCCATATTATCACCGTTCGTGGTGGTGATAGGCGAAGGAATACCCTTTGTGTTGTCGGAGCTTGTGGGATTGCAGGAGGAATTCTACTATTTTACTTGAAGAAACTTTAAACAAGCTTTGTATGGCACAATGGCAGGAATGCAAGATGAAGAAAGCTCGAGCATGGTTGTTTAAGGTCATTGAATGTGACGTATCTAGACCTGCTCAAAAAAATTTGTAGTTTACTCTGTATAATCATTTTTGTGTTTTGTACTAAACATGCTCATAATTCAAAGTCACCTTCCCCTCTTTATTTACATATTCCAAAGTAAGCAGATCAATAATACAAAACTCAAACAATGAACAAGTTCAATGTTGGTATAAATAACTAAATAAGGCTACTTCATACAAGATTAACTTTAGACTATATATTGAACAATTCCATTATATGTATTTGTTTCTCGCGGGTTGTCGCTAACAATTAAAAAGATTCAGACGATTGTGTAAGGAACAGACCTCTTTAGACAAAGTCCCAAAAATGGGTGTTTTATTGGCGATGATTTACAATTGGAAATAAACAGAATGCCTCCAAGGGGCACAAACACACGAGTACTAAAAGAAGTGTTTAAAATTAAGCTAAGAAATTAAAATTACATATTCTCTGTTTGAGAGTGTTTAATTCGGAGTCTTTTCTCCATGTATTTTCTTCCTTTTTATATTCCCTTGATGATCTCTTCTTGACAAACCGCTTGAAAACTGCTTGATCGCTCTATAACTATCCATTTTCTTCATGGTGGCTAACTCATCGTGGAACTTCCGTCTCTAACTGCTACCATTACTCTTTGTCGGTCAACCACCTTCAATTGGGCTCCTTGAATCGTGGAATGTGATAAGATTGCTTGATAACTGCTTCAATAACCATTATATCTTATGTTTGCTAAGATCCTAGGAGATCCGAAGGTTTAGGCGAGAACGGGGTCATTACTCTGGGCGACCGTAAGGCACTCCATTCGCTCAGATTCTGGGTGTCTTGTGAGTTTGGGCGATGATGCTACTGTGTTTGTGGGCTTCCACTGCATTCATCAATAATCTTCTTTGGGCCTTTATCCTGAACTCCCCAATTGGGTCTCACTCTTTAGACTATTTACTTTTGGCTNCCCAATTGGGCTGCATTTTTAGTGTGTCAACAATTACCCCCCAATATGGTAGAATTAATACCGATTATTAATCTTTGCCATATTTGTATTTTCCAGCAACATTCGAAATTTCCAAGAATTTCAATCATTATTTCCTTCTATAACCTGAAAATGTGCAACGTTACAAACCCAAAAGACACCATTTCATCGCACCACTAAACCACGTCTCTATATTTCGCGTCTCTTTACACGCCATTTCATCGCACCACTAAACCACGTCTCTATATTTTGCGTCTCTTTCTCCCTATTTTACTATTCATCTTCTTGCTTCTTTGCTACGTTTCTTAGGCAAATCTTACCAAAACTGTACTTTGCACCCAATGGCGATTTCACAAACTCAATATGGTGATTCTTTCAGTTTCGAAGATTTCTAGAAAATCCTTACTAGGCCGTTTGTAAACCCAAACTTCCTTGTACAAGCCAATGCTGACCTCAATGAATTCTATCTGGGTCCATCATTCAATAATGCCGAAGCCGTTGGACAAGTAGCGGTGGGCCAGCTGTTCCCTTGCACTCAAGGCCCTCCGTTCCTGAATTCTCTGCCATTGGGGCCGATTCGCGAAAAAGGTATTCGCACTTAGCCTAAAGGTATTCGCACATCTGGTAAATCATGGCCCCACCAAGGCGATTTTCTACCGTACTAGGATTTCAGATTTATTAGAAATTGCTCTTCAACCCCCAATTTTTGGCCCAGTGCTTTTTCCGATTGCTTTGAGTTTCTAGTCTTCTGAATATAATACCTTCGTTTTCCCGCTTGGTCCCATGTCTATTACTTAATGGGACGTTGGAGCCCTATTAAATCTTCCACCTTCGGGCGATACCATCTTTCCTGGTACTTTAATTTCTAGTGTTGCCCCCAAATTTGAGAAAAAACTTATTGATTCCTATTCAAGCATGCAAAGTCTTTATAATCATTCAAGTGCTGAGCCTTCTCATGCTGAACATGTGGCCTTTCTTCTAATTTTTCTCTGTAAATATATTCTCTGCGTGCCAAGTATGAAACCTTTTATGAGCTACTTACCCATAGCGAATGAATTGGTGCATGGTAGGCCCTTGAACTTATATTCTTTTTTTTTTGCTGCCCTTTATAGAGGCATGACTTTCCTTCAATCTCAACTGAAGAATGGTGCATCTCCTACTGGCAGTGGGCCCCTTTGGTTCACTCAACTGTGATTGAGAGCATACTTTCCACCACTTGGTGTTCCATCCATTTCCCTTCGTTCTGCTAGCTACTATGGGCTAGCCATTGACCCATTGGATCCTGTAAATATGTCCAGTAGGGACATTTTTGTATTCTTTTGTACCTTAAATTCAATTCTTTCCTTCTTTCCTTTTCCTGCTCACTTGACTCCAGATTACGTGCAACCTCCATCCACCCTGGACAATGCTAGTGCTTCTTTGCTTTTTTGGGTTCAATTTTTGATTGGGAGAGAATTGTTCCACGATATTTTAACTGGAACCAATGCCAAGGCTGGGGTTGAAATATATGCTCCCCAATTTTTTGCTCGCTAACTTGGTTTCGGCCAAACTTGGCTTGTTCCTCGTTGCTACTCCAAAAATTTGACAGATCGTTTTCATACTATTAATAAGGTAGAAGCACAATTTATATATGCTCGCAACATTCTTCTGACGAGCAAATTTTCATTAGCCCTTTCAATTCTAGCTTTGCCGTCCATCCTCTTTTTGAACAACTCGGCCATCAGTAGACGTTGATTATTCACAACTGATGCTAATCATGCCTTTCATTTGCTGGATCGGCCAAGCACTTCTTCTTCTTCTCCCATTTTGGCCACCCTTGTGTCTATCAGGAATCCTTCCTCACCTGCTTGTGCTAAACATCCTATACTTCCATCTTCTTCTCCACCTGCTAAGGCTACTGCAGCTAAAGGTGCCTCAAACTACAAACGGCCAGCTTCAGCATCTCCCATTTTGCAGGATGATGATGATGAGGACGCCCCTCTCATCCTTAGGAAAAAGGTAATTGAATCTGTTTTATTCACAAATATACTTCTCTATGTACTAATGGTTTACCTGAAATTTTCAGAAAAGTTCAGCCTCTCCTTCGAAGGCTTTGGTTTTGGTAGCTTCTATTTCATCACCTTCTGTTGAGGCTACCTCGTCCAAATCAGCTGATTAAGGGCCTAAGCTTAAAGAGAAACCCTTAGTCTCGGAATCTTCATCACAACCAGTAGAAGGGCCAGCTTCTTCCCATGGCGTCGACCCCCTAAATGTCGAATCAGAAGGTAATACATATTTTGATGTTTTACCTTTGTTTGTGCTACTGGCTTTTGATTCGTTGCTTCTTGAATTATGCAAAGGCTCACATAGACTTTCCCATTGTGGCAGAGTCCTCTCGCCCAGATAAGGGAAAGTCCCCACAAGTGGTAGAGCCAACTGGTGATATGCCTAAACTTCCCAAGACTGCTGATGAGGTAACATTTTGCTTCACTTTTATTTTTACTTCGTTTATTGTAGTGAAAGTCCTCAATGTTGGCATCATTCTTTACAAGGTGCTGATGACATTTTGCGTTCCATCCGGGACTTGTTCACTTCCCTGGAACAAGTAAAGACGCCTAGCCCTATTTCAACTAGTCATTCTTCTCTTTTTCAGAGGAAAATATAAAGTCTCTCAAGCAGTCGGTACTCGAGTTTATGACTTTCATGGACATGGATATCGGCTGGCCAGTGCTACTAAACAGAAGGATAAATTTGAGCTATTGAGCGAGAAATTGGCACAAGCACTTGCACTTGCACTTCCATCGCTCAATGTTTCCGCTGACTTTAAAGTGACGTTGAAGGTTGCCCACTCTGACATCCTCTCCTTGCTAGCTAAAAATGTTGAACTAAATGCCAAAGGAACTCAATATATTCGTTCTGCATCTGAAAGAGAGTCTTTGCTTCTAAAGATTAACAAAGTCGAGGATGAATTGAAAGAAATCTCTTCCGAAATTATGATTGAAAACTCTTTGATGATAAGCTTGGCAGCAGAGATGAAGGAGCTTCAAGCAAAGATGAACAACTGTAGGGCGAGAATGGCAACTAAAAAGCGCAATGCTTCCCAAGGAATTGAACGAACCAAGTCTTTGGTTGAGCAGTACAAAAATTTGGAAGTCGATAATGATCTTGTAATTGAATTAAATGTTGCTTCTTCTCAACAGAGCGAAGATTGGGGAAGACTTGGGGAACGAGTACGTTCGGCTTGGGGAGAATTGTAATAAAAACATCCAATATTAACTTTCCTTTTGCAATTTCGCACTAATTGTCATTGCTAATTTTGAATGTAACAGTAACTATCGTCATTAATGAACAACTGTTTTGTCTGTTTGCGTATTAATTGACGTTGTCCTTAATCGTCAACCCCCAAGCATTTAATTGTTTTATGCTAAGATTCATGTACATTCTTTCTTGGTATTCCCGTCTCTTTTTTCAAGACTTTGGGCCATTTGATTTCAGTTATCATGCACAAATGTGGCCGTTCATATTCTATCTTTTCACCTTCATGCCTCTATAAATGCGTGTGTGTTTCGCATTTATCCTTTTCGTTTCCATTCTTTTCTTCACAAACTAATTTCCTACCATCGTTTGACATCTCAACAATTGATCCAAATTTTCCATCTTCGATAGAAATGGATCATTTGATCCACCCATTTGCTATCTGTCTTAATGTCACCTTTGGTATGGGAGGTATAGGAAATGTTCTTTGGCCAGCAAAGGTTTTACAGTTCAATGATGGAAGACAATTTTTTAGGATGCCTTTCTAGCAACTTCACCTGCTGAGAGTGCTTCTCAGTCTCCTTGCCTGTTATTGCAGCAATGCAATTAGGAAGGCGGTTTGAGGGTGCTTTTCTTCCTTTTTACTTGTTGAGAGTGTTTCTCAGTCTCTCTGCCTGCCCTTGCAGCAGTACGATCAGGACGGCGATCAAGACCAGTTTACCCTCTTACTTGGTAATCGACCGATGAATTAGTCTGCTCTCAATAGCATCTTATAGAGCGTTTAGTATTTTGTATTTCACAATTTGTAATGAATATTTGATAATAAAGGAATTTATTTGAATGTATTTCGTTCTTACCTTATTTATCTACGATCGTTCAACACAATTATATTGATTACGCTTTTATTTGTTCACTTTTCCATAAGGAATGAACATACTTTTTTTAAATATTTGCCATTAATGAACCTCATGTGCTTGGTGTCATCTAAATCATCTAAATGATATGATCCTTGCTATTCAAAGGGAGTATTATTTTCCTAACCAATTCGCTCAGACTAAAAGACTTGCCTATAACTTTCTTATTATAAAACTTAGCCATTCTTTATTTTTGAACTCGCAATCTATCTAGGACGTCTAATTTTAATTCGTCCAACTCCAATAAGTTTTGAACTAGTGATTCGGTATACTCACCATTACTTAACTTATGTTGCAAACACATTTTGATTGATTGCACCATAGGCAAAACGGCCTCTTGTCCATAAGTAAGTTGGAAAGGGGTAACTTTAGTACTTGACTGAGACGACATCCTGTAAGCCCATAAGGCATTGTTTAGACATTCGTGCCAATTTCTGGCATTTTCGTCTATCATTTTCCTTATGATATTTTTTAGAATCTTATTAGAAGATTCTGCCTGTCCGTTGGATTGGACGTAATATGGTGTGGAGTTCACTAACTTAACTCCAAACTCGCTCAAGAATTCCTTCACTTGATCCCCATTCAAGGAAGTTTCGTGATCTACCATCAAAGTTTGTGGAATCCCAAATCAATAAATAATATGATCACGGATAAATTTTATGACACTCTTTTGGGTGATCTCCTTTAAAGGTATCGCTTCTATCCACTTAATGAAAAAATCAGTTACAACTATAACAAAGGTATGTTGCTTGGACGATGGGGGATAAATCTTCCCTATCGGGTATATCGCCCAACCCTTGAATGGCCAGGGTTTGATAATGGGTACCATCTCTCTTGCTGGCGCTCTTTGTATCGGACCATACTTTTGGCATGCTAGACAACTCTTCACATATTGAGCACACAATTCTCCCATCCTAGGCTAGAAATATCCACTCCTAATAATCAACCACCTCATCCTTTGGCCGGCTTGATGAGCTCTACATATCCCTTCATGCACCTCAGTCATGATGGTTCTGGCTTCTTGTAAACTTACACATTTTAGTAATATACCATCAGAGCGTTTCTTAAACAACTCTTTATCTATCAATGTATAGTTTACCAAATGCAACTTCATTTTTCTACTACCTCCTTTATTAGGTTTTTTAAGGAACCTCTTAATCTCTGCCCTCCAATCTATTGCATCTCCATCTTGTCTGCAATGAATTTTGATCATTCTCTCCCTTCTTTGGACTACGGATAATATTACTCCATATTTAGAATTAGATTCCCAATTTAAAGCCTTTGAATACCCTGAGGCCATCTGGGCCAACTCATTTGCTATGTCATTATACATCCTATTAACACATTGAAGCTCTACTTGGTCGAATTCTTCCAACAATTCTTGGGCAATTTCATATTGACTTATAATGGAATCACTTTGGCACTTAAAATCACCGATCAATTGGTGAATTACCAATTGAGAATTGTCCCTAACAATCACGTTCTTTACCTCAATATCTATCATTAATTCTAAGCCCACAATTAAGGCTTTGTATTCGACTTAATTGTTGGTGCACATCCTATCTAGAGTGAATGGGAATTTGTAACAAATCTCTAAAGGATTTATCAATACTACTCATACTCCTACACTTTTAGAGGTTTTTGACCCATCGAAATATAACACCCAAGGTTTTAATTCGAATGAATCGATTTCTAATTGAATTTCTTCAGGTATGGATGATAGGCCAGAAAGTTAGCCAAAGCCTGATTTTTTATTGTCTTTTGGGGTATGTATTGTATTTCAAATTCTGATAATGATAAAGTCCAAAGGCCTACCCTTTTGTGTAAAATAGGACAAGAAAACATATACTTAACCAAATTTACTCTAGAAATCAAATAAACGGTTACAGGTCGTAAATAAGCCCTTAGTTTCGTACATGTGAAATACAATGCAAGACATAATTTTTCAATGGTAGAGTAATTACATTCACATTTTGTTAACCATCTACTCAAGTAATAAATCACAATTTCTTTACCAAATTGGTCTTCTTGCGTGACCATTCCAGTTATTGATTCTTGTTCAGCCGATATATACACTTTCATTGGCCATCCTTGGATTGATGACACCAACACTGGTGGATTTGATAAACATGTCTTTAGGCTTTCAAAAGCCTTTTGATGCTTTTCTTTCCAGACGAATTCGTCCTGATTTTTCAGATTGAAAAGCGGCGAAAAAGTTTTAGTTCGCCCTGCACAGTTAAAAATAAAGTGTCTTAAAAAGTTTACTTGGCCTAGAAATCTTTGCAATTCTTTTTTGTTACTAGGTGGTTTGGCCTCTAAAATGGTATTTGCTTTATTTTTATCGAGTTCAATCCCCCTTTTGTGTACTAAACTAAGGAAGTTTCCTGCATTAACACCAAATGCGCACTTCAAGGGATTTAATTTTAGTTTATATTGACTCATTCGCTCAAATGAACATCTCAATTGTTCAAAATGGTCTTTTTCTTTATTGGATTTGACCACTATATCATTTACATATACCTCAACAAACTTTTCTATCATATCATGAAAAATCAAGTTCATTGCCCTTTGATAAGTCGCTCCTGCATTCTTCAGGTCGAAAGACATAACTACCCATTCAAAACATCCTAGAGATCCAGGGCATCTAAAGGCAGTTTTGTATATATCTTCCTCAGCTATACAAATTTGATTGTATCCTGAATATCCATTCATGAAAGAATATGTTACGTGTCCGGCAGTCGAGTCTACTAAAGAATCTACTGTAGGCATTGGATATTCATCCTTGGGCGTGGCTATATTTAGGTTCCTAAAGTCTATGTACACCCTTAATTTACCATTCTTTTTTTGTACTGGCACGATATTGGACAACCACTCGACATATCTGGTTGTTCTAATAAAGCCTGCTTTTAATAATCGCTCTATTTCTTTCTTAATTTCAGGAAGTGCATTAGGAGCAAAGTGCCTAGGGGGGTTGCTTATGAGGTTTAAAATTTGGCTTGGTTGGCAATCTATGTTCCACCAAATATCTATCTAAACCAGGCATATGTTCATATTCCCAAACAAAACAATCCTTATATTCCTTTAATAAAGTGATTAATTTATCACTAACCTCTTGATCGAGCATCTGGCTGACGAATGTTGGGCGATCTTTCCCTTCATTGCTAATTTTCACTTTAATCAGAGGGTCTTGTGCTTGAGCATATCCAGGCTTGGTGANTTTGTGATCCTCATTACTTCATCGTCCACGTCCTTTATAGGCACTTCTTCTTCTAAATAATCCACCTTGTTGACTTCTCGGCCAATACTTTGTTCCAATTCGAACACTGCCAATTTATCTCTCAATGCTTTCAAAGTTGATTCTTCTTTCGTCTTGTCTTTACATTCTTTATTGAAAGTCATTAACTTGGCTTTGAAGGCTTGATCATTAGCCATTTGCCTTTGTTGCTTACAACTCATTTAAAACTCCTGGATTACTTTTTTGCCAATTACTGGCTCCTCCAGGGCCACTATGTTTGGCCTCATTTGACTGAACATTTCAGTGAGTACATCCACTGAAAACGGCTCTTTACTCTGTGCAACAATTTGAGTTTCTTCTCCATCTTGGACTACTCTGACAGGTCCATAATTTCCTTCGTACATAAACCTTTCCACTGAGTTTGCTTCTGTGACAAAAAGCCTATGATCTGCCTGCACCACTTCTACTTCACCCTTGTCATTCCAGAAAACCAGACATTGATGGAGCGATAAAGGTATGCAGCGACTTCCGTGTATCCAATCCCTTCCTAATAACAAATTGTAACTAGTAGGACCATTTATTACGAAGAAAACTGTGGTCCTAGTAGTTGTCCCTACAGTTATGTCCAGTGGCATAACTCTTTTAGCCGACGTTGCTCCTCTATTGAAACTTGTGAGGATGACCTCTGTTGGAATCATATCACTTTCTACCTTTGCAAACTTTCTCATCATTCTGGA